TCATACTGGGTTATGAGATACTAAAGGACTAAGCATTCCTTGAAGACCTTATTACCTACTCTAAGATATATAATGCACTGGTCATTGTATGATGGGATAGTTATATCATGTTAGGTGAAATTATGACCTCAACATTGTTTTCATTTGAAAATTAAGCATGACATAGAGAGATACTATCGGGCGTCAAGTTGACAGGGGGTGGACTTGTAATGGCTAATCCTGGGTGTCAATTTGACTGGATCTGGGATTAACTGAAATGAAAGAGATCTTGATTGGATCATCTGAAGCTAGAAGACATACCCTAAATGTGGGTGTTTGATGGCAGCCCATATAAAAGACCAAGGCAGAGGAGAACGCCTGGCTTCTTGCTGCTTGCCTTCTCTTTCGCTGGTGAGTTCATGTTACTGCTGTAGACTGAAGATGAGCTGATCTTTTGGAATTTGTCAGACCTTCAGCACCAGATTCGGACTACTGAGACATCCAGCCTTGTGGACTGAGTGACTACAGATTCTCAGCCTCTCCAGCGTGGTGCAGCCATTGTTGGACTACTCGGACTCTATCCTGTGAGCTAAGCTGATAAATCTATATACATATATATTCATTCTACCAGTTCTGTTTCTTTGGAGAACCCTGACTAATATACTCTCCAACCAGTGGGTATGGGAATTTCTTGGGTTTGTCTTCAAGAGAGATGAGTAGCACAACATGGATGACTGCAGTTATTTCAACAAAGCTAGAACATCTCATTTCAACTACTCAGAAATACCTTGCTTAAGTCCTCATTTTAATCACACATTACTTTATAAGGGATTTTTTGTGTGTGTGTTTTTGAGACTGGGTCTCCTTGTAGCTGTAGCTATCCTGGAACTCACTATGTAGACCAGGCTGGCCTCGAACTCACAAAGATCCACCTGCCTCTTCCTCCCAAGTGCTGGGATTAAAGGCGTGTGCCACCACACCTGGCATAAGGGATGTTTTTTTTAAAGCCATGTTGTTGGCTTAGAACAGTGGCTCTCAACCAGGATGACTTTTGTCCTCAGGGACATATTTGGCAATGTCTGGAGTCATTTCTAGTCATCATAACTGAGGTGTTAGGTAGTGGCTACTGATGTAAGTGGGTAGGGATACTCATAGACACCACAGTGTATAGGACAATACCCCTCCAAACAAATGACTGTCAATTCTAAATGTTAATGGTGTTGCTGATGAGAGATCCAGGTTGTATCTGAGCCTCTAACAAAACAGGGAGAACCAGGGATCCCATCCCATACATCAGCAGGGAGCACCAGGGATCCTGGCCCCACATCAGCAGTACAATATCCATGGTGCAACTGTGAGTTTTCAGGACACACCCTTCGCACCTAGGCCAGGGCACCCACTCCTCTTCCCCAAAGAGTGGTCCCAGGTTGGCTTGGTCTGGACTTCCTTTCTCCATGTCCTAGGTGAGATCAGAACTTTGTGAAGTAAGAGATCTGGCCAGGATGTTCAAGCAACTGTATCATATGAACACTTGCCCAGGGCTCTCATGCTTAGAAAACAATTACCTCTGGGATGTTGTTGTTGTCAATGGGTCCATTGAGATCAGAGCGCTGCTGCTTCCTTGGCTGCTCCAAACCATTGCAAACCTGGAAACCAGGAGGTTAAAATTGTGTTTTAACACATTAAAGAAATGAATCCAGACACAACTTTATAGACATTCAGTGGAATTCAGTCTTCTAATAAATGTGTGTATGTAGGGATATATATGTATGTGTGTCTGTGTACATGTATATACATATTTAACGAAGCCATTATACAATTAATATGTATTATATTTCTAAAATGTCTTAGCATCATTTAAGACTTTTATTAGTATTAATTTTATAAATACAATCATATAATTATCACATATAATTTACCATCTACGCTCTTTTCAGTTCAATAGCACAAATTACATTTGCATATGCAGCCAGCATCACCCACCATTCCCAGAACGCATTTCATGTTACAAAACTGAATCTCTGAACCCACAAAGCAACAATTTCACATTTCACAATCCCCATAGCTGTGGCAGCTTCCATTGTACTTTCTGAAACTATGAATTTGACTATACCTGGGATAGGTGGATTCAGAAATGGTTATCCTTCTGTAACTGGCCAGTTCATTTCACTTACCACAATGTCCTCAAGAGTCAAGCTGTTATACTACCTCTTGGAATCGCCCTCTTTTTTGAAAAAATATTTTTATTTTTCTTTCCTTTTAAAAGCTGAGTAGTGTACCACCATGCTTTGCTTAGTCAACCATTAAAGACCACTTGTGTGGGTCCTGCCTGGTGGGTATCATGAACAATACTGCTAAGAACACGGGTGTGCTAATGTGTCTTTGAGACTCTGCTTTCATGTCCTTTGGATGTATGTTCAGAGTTACAAATGCTGGATCAGACAGCAATTCTATTTTTAATTTTCTTGAAAGCTTTTCTGTACTATTCCCATGGTGGTTGTCTCATTGCACATCCCTCTAACAAT